CACACACACACACACACACACACACACACACACACACACACACACACACACACACACACACACACACATACTCGCACACACGCTACTGTACTGAATCTAAATCTGCAAATAATACAATGTAAACCACATTGAATTTACTGCTTCAAAACACTTGAATCAATATGAATCCATATTGTGCAAGAAACAAGTGTTAGCATTGTGCTAATTAGCGGCTTATCTACAGTCTAAATAACATAGAAAATTGCTAGCACAATGCTAATCTCTCCAACACTCATGCAGGAAAAACATGTTTTCTTGATAGTTTACAACACAAAAATTAAACTACACAGTTACACAAACGTTTATTACAATTACAATCAACTTACTACAACAGAGTATTAGGGCCACACAACGAGATTTTTTTTTATTATGAGATTAAAGTCATAATTTTACGAGAATAAAGTCATAATATTATGGGAATAAAGTCGTAATATTACGAGAAAAAAGTCCTAATCATAACACGTTTATTTCCCGTTCCTCATTTCCTCCTTATTTTCCCCACACCTGCTGTGTACAGCCATGTCTCTGTGTTTATAAAGTAGTCCATGATGACTCGGGCCACTGTTAGATTATTATGCTTCCATCCAAATTAGCTACGTGACAACTAAATCTGTCAATGCGTCCATTAATTACAACACATCTTCAGTTTATTGTCGTTTGCACAATTTCCGTGTCCTGCTGCTGATAATTTGATGCTAATTTGCTCAAAGATTAACTATTTTTAAGCAATACTAAAGAACAACTTGACAAGTTGCTCAACATTACTCATTTTAATGCAGTGGTAACGGCATGCTTGTGGGGGCTGGCCCTCCAGGTTGGGAGCCACTGAACCAGATTACAGCTTCTTAGCATTTAAATTTTTTTTCCTTTCACAGGGGGATTTGCGGCGCATGTGGTCCGAGCCTTTCCACGCCAAGACCAGCAGCTCTCGCTTCCTGGAGGTATGATGTAGCCACGGCGGATGAAGAACCAGCGTGGGGAAGACTGCTGATCTTTTCCCTTTTGTCCGGGGCGGGGTGGGGGGCAAGAGGAGGAAGGAGAGAGGGCGCACGCTCACAGTGAGGCCATGTCGTCGTCACATCTTCATGCTTTCCACCAATCTGTGAAACCCCCTCCGAAAGGACACTGTGTGGATCACAACGCCCCGTCCCCCCACCACCACCACTACGACTCATTTATGGTCCTGACATCCTGCCTGTTTCATCTCCGCTTCCTTCTTTGCTGTTTATTTCCTCTACATTACAGCACATCCTGTCTGTGCTGCTTTTGTTTTGCCTCCCTCCAACTTTTTCTCCCTTTTCCCCCCATTTTTGTAGTTCGTCTCATCGACTGCCTCCCGCTCACACGGATTGTCTCATCTGTCTGGCCTCTTCGTTCTGTTTTTTTTCCTCTCCTGATTCTTTTCTGTGTATCTTTGATGAACTAAAGGACCAGGCCTCCTCCCCGCCGCACATCTCCCTCCCTACTCCCTCCTTTTTTTTGTGAACTTACAGTTGTGAGACTTGGCTGGGGTTTCTATGTATTTTTTAGAATTGTCGTGGTCATTATAAATAATGTTATTAAAACGGACAAACTCAGAACAGATGAGGAGGAGCCGAAGTGTCGCAGCGGCACGGAGCGGTGCCCGGGAGCAGCGACGCTGCTCAGGAGAACGAGACTCTTTTTTTCTCTCTCTCTCTCTCCTTCCATCTCAATCTTTGTCCCCCCAGTTTCCTTCCTGTGTTACATCATTCCTCCACGATGACCGCCCCCCAACCCATCTCCCTCCAGGTGCTCCTGCCCACCCTCCTCCTCCGATCATCTGCTGACCCTCCTCCCCCAGCCCCACAGATAACTATGTATTTTATTTAGAAAAGTTTTATTCTTGGCATATAAAGAAATGATGCATTAAAAATTGTTAAGCTGCCTCCCCTCCTGCATCCCGTCGGAGGGGTCGCTTTTATTTGTATATATGTGTACACATGTATTTGCGGTATCTTTTGAGTTTGTGTTTGTGTTTTGGACGCATGTTGAACAGGGTGGGAAACTGACGTCGGCCAGCAGCTGGATTTTTACTACGTTTTGGTCGCATCCGACGAGGAGCAGAATCCGGTCTTCACACTTAAGCAGCTTGTGTAATAGAATCATGGCATACGTTTTCCTTTCCTTTTTTCAAAAAATAAAAAACAACGGGTGCTGCTAGATGGCAGTTTTCCACCCTCTTGTTGAAGCGTGTGTGTGTGTGTGTGTTTGTGTGTGTGAATGAGCAGAACACATAACAAACGGTTGTTTTACTCGGTTTTAATTTGCAATCATGTTTAAAACAGTGACAATAGTCAGGTTTGCGTTGAGCTGTGTGTCGGATCAAAGGGTGTCAAAGTCATGAAACACTTTGTCTTCTTGTATATAAAAAGAAATTGTAGAAAACTCCAGAGGTCATTTTTCTTTTTAGTTTTTTTTTTTTTTTCTGCAGAAGAACTTTGTTTTTACTGCAGCAGAAATGTAAACAGTGTTTCCTCTTCTTTTTTTTCCTCTTCCAAATAAATGAATGTTAAATAAGTTTTCCAGTTTGCTACTTTTACTTTAAAGCTACATCATTCGCCATTCTGTTAAATTCTAAATTTAAATCCATTCATGTGAAAACATTAAGAAGGCAACTCAGATTTTCCAGGTAACCAAATGTTCTCACCGTGTTTTTGTCAGCAGATTTTATAAATGTCAGTCGATGAAAACCTGACTGTTGTGATTCTAAAGCTGAAGCTTGTTGATGCATCTGGTAGGAAGACGGAATGTTGAAAACTCAGATTATGTATTTAAAAATGAATAAATCTAACCTGAGATGTCTATTTTATACCAAACGTTATTTTTTATTTTTGTTAATAGCCGATGCAAACTGGAAACATGATGGTTGGAAATGGGAAGAAACGTCATTAACTCTGTTGCTGTTTTTTATTTTTTATATATTTTCTGGCCGTGCATGATGAGTGTACAGGTGTATCATTATGCCCAGATTGCATTAACAGGGCTACTGCCGTTCTGAGCTCTGCAGGCCGACACCGAAGCACCGGACCTCAGCCTGCAGCTTCATGGACTTCCTCTGACCTGAAGACTGGATCCTGCTGAGTTTTGGAATCTACAGACCCCCTTTCACCACTTCATGGACGTGGCAAGAAAGCATATAGATTTATACGCATATGTGTGCGTGTGTGTGTGTGTATACATATATAAACAACAGATGATCATGCTGATAAAGTTTTTTATAGAGTTTTTTTTAGCCTCTTTGTATTTTTTTCTTTAAAATGTAAGTTCTGTTTTTCTCCCCTTCAGCAAAGGACTTGAACTGTTTGATATTCTGAATGAACTCTGTATAGAAGAAAGGTGAATACAAAATAAATAAATTAAAAACTGTGTTAGTGAAACATGAATCCTGAAACAATTTCACCTTTAAAACAGATCGTCTCCTTAAAAGTCCCAGCCCACCTTTTTTTTTTTTTGTCCCGCTTCTGTCCCTCATTCAGGATTCTGCTGTAAATAAACATGACACTAACTGTAACGACAGCCTGTCTGTTTCTTTATTCTCAAACTTTTTTAAATGTTGCTTTTAGAAGAGGCTTGTGTTTATTATGGATTATTTAATTTAATTTTTTTGGTTCCATACAGGCTCATATAGACTGAGGCATTTACCAAACTGTTTTAATGAGTGAAACTGTAGGCAGTGCTGGCTCTAACCATTTTGGTGCCCTGGGCGAGTTGAAGCCCCCCCCCACTACTTTACTATGGTAAACTTAGATTTATTTTTGCTTCAAACAAACATATATCACACAACAAATTAAATGACTAAATAAAGTAAATATAATTAAATCAAATGACATGGGTAAACAAAAGACCCTGTTCACAATTTGTGCAAAGATTTAGAAGGTCCTCTCTTTTTGGAAAATATAAGTCTGATTTTACCTCATAAGGTCCTCGGCTGACAAACTCAGTCCTCACTGTGTCAGAATGGATGTCAGCAGGATTACTAGTAGGAGTTGTTTATTTTTCCTGTAATACCTCATTATAGTTTTTTAAGACAAAGCTAATTGAAATGGGCGCTGAGCAGAGTTACAACCAGGGATGGCAAATAACTTTTTTTCCTTCTGCAGTTCGGTGCCCCCTCCAGCAGATGGCGCTCTAGGCGACCGCCTGGTTCCCCTATAAGAGCCGGCTCTGACTGTAGGTTCCTGGATGATAAGACCTATTAAGTTCTTATTAATGAGCATGATTGACTGCAGCTGGTATTGTCTTTGCTTGCATATAGTTGTTTTTTTATTTCTATGGAGGTAAATTTGTGTTTTTATTATTCAATCAAACAAAAAGCATCTTCAATCAAAAAAAATAATTTCAATCAAAAATATTTTTTCAACCAAACAAAAAATAAATTCAATAATAAAAACACAAATTTACCTCCATATATTTCCCCCAGAAATTTTAAGACCTTTGAACACTGGGAAAATTCAAATAAATCAATGAACTTATGATGTTAAGGAAACCACCAAGAAGAGGAAACTGCTGGAACACAAATGAAGCGAGTTTTACGTCGCTGTGGACTGAGAGGGGGCTGCTCTGAAACCGACATCTTCAAGGTCAGCCCTGGAGAGGCCAAGTGCCTTCAGTCAGACAAAATAAAATTGTAACTTTTTGGCCGCTCTTGTTTGAAAGGTTTTTCCTAACGCTGCACTAATTGTCAAGCATGGTGGTGGAAGCATCATGCTGTGGTACTGGTGGTTGAAATAAAAGAAACAGGCTGTCTCCAAATTCTTCCAGCTTCATCAAAAAACAAACAAAAACAAACAGCTTTGAACTTGGATTTTGCTGGGTACTAGCCTACTCTAACCAGCAAAAACCCAAAAACGGGGAAAACAAAAACAAGTCTGATTGAATAAGTCAGGCAAGTTTTAGACTTTTGGTTTTAGATTTTGTAACAGCCTGATTAAAACTGAGTTTAAATTAGGAAAATAGTTAGTTTAAATAAGCTTTACCAATTCCGCGCAGGAGTGATCATCCAGGCAGATTTTATGATTTGGTGAATGTAAACCTGCTGGAAAAGGTGAATGAAGACTCCAGATTTTATTTAAACAGATTTTTAAGCAGAATCTACTTGTTTTGTAACTACTGCCAGTTAATTCCCAAAATCAAGCCTTTAGATTTGATTAATGGTGAAATAGAATTTATTCTTTTTTTTCTCAGTCCCAGTAATTTTAAAACCTTGTTTGAGGCATCTTTACCTACAGGTATTTTATTATTAGCATTTATTAAAAAAATAAGTCGGCAGTTAAGAAAATACACAAAATGTAATTTACCCAGAAATCTTCCTTGTTCTCTTAAATAATTTAATTTAGAATCCACAATTTCCTGCAGTCTGAAGCTGATTTATCCTGCCTTAAAGCTAACAATTACATTTGGTTTTAAATGAAAGGCCTGTTCTAATGTCATTCAAATGTTTTGTTCCTTAAAGTGTTATAATATTAAGAAAATTTCATTTTTTTTATTATGTAAGCCATTTATTCAAATTAAATAAATACATTTTAGTGTTTTGTTAATTCAGTCTCCTCCAGCAGGTAGCGCCAGAGCACAAATATCTGAAAACACTTGTCAGGCAAATCAAGCAGGTGTAGCTTTCCATGTTTCAGTTTTCAGACACCATTATGCTCCTGTATGCTCCTGGGTTTTGCAAAGCAGCTCCGTGATTCATTTACACCTAAATGCTCACAAACAGCAGCAAAAACCCTTATTTCTATACCGACAATCCTGCAGACAGAAAGGAGGGAAGCTGCAGAATCATGAAGTGAGAGACACAGAAGTCACCTCTTGATGGAGAAGTGAAAGGAAGGAGCGCTCTCATCAACGTCAGGTAATTGGTTCCTGCAGGGCACCTGGGAGAGATCTCATGAGCCTTAATGAGAAAAAGGGGCTGCCTCAATGACACACCAAACATGCTGAGTCAAGAGTTTGGAGGGGCTGCAGGATGGGAATGAAATCCATGAATGTTTGAATCTATGCTGGATGTGAGGCATTACAGAAGCGTGGAGACATGTCTGAGGAAATAATTGCTCATGAATCTCCTTTTTAATGAGAAGATGTGACAAAACTTCATTTTGATCTCTGGTTCACATGAGGAACTGAAGCATTTATTGTTACTATGATTTTAAAGTCCGTGCCTTAGCTTTGAAATAAAATGTGCAAAACATAACAGAGATCAGTGGGATTTTAGTGAATGAGCGAGGAAAACCCAACCTTTCTTGAAGTTTAAATGAGTAAGCTGGACTTTACATAAACTGACCTGGCAGTCTCAAAACTTTTACAGATTTTACATAATCTCACATGAACTTTTATGATTACTTTTGACGTCACGCTAACTTTAGAGCAAACGAACTTTGAGCAAACAAACTCTTTTTACTCTTTCAGGTGCATTAACATATAAAACATCTGCATGACATCCCCCAGACCACACAGAGTTCACAATCAAACCTATATAAACTTCAATGTATTCTTTTCACAACTGAAAATAAAGTTTTGTTAAAACCTGACATCTCCAACAGAAAACTCTGTAGGAGCATAAAGCCTCACATGTGGGACCATTGGGGTCTTCTTCCGCTCACTGTTCAAGAACTTTTCAGCTCTGACTTCTCGTTGTCCCACAGCGACTTTTTATTTGAGGCTTATTTTTCAGTTTGTCTGCCTCTCTTTAACAGAGACGCAGGTGTGTGGGTCACTCTTTTTGGCTTTGGTCTTGTTCTTTGATTAGTTTTGATCTTTTCTACAGTTTAAACAGTGGGTTTCGGGCAGCAGCTGAAATGTTTTAGTGGTTTTTGCTCCTCGGACTGTCAGATGAACGAGGAGCCTGACCCGCTGACTGACCGGCTCGCTGAATGGATGGATTGGCTGGATGAAGAGGCTGATGGGGGGGGTGAGGAGCAGGATGCAGTGTGTGTGTGTGTGTGCATGTGTGTGTGTTTGTACAAAGGGGAGGTGGGGTGTTGGTGGAAGGTCGCTGAGGTCAAGCCAGTTAGGGTCCACCCCTCGGCACCTATTGGCCAGAAGCCCTGATGGTTCCCGTGCAGCTTTGAAGCCCTGAAGTGGTCAGAATTCCATCATGGCCGTGAAGATTGTAGCATGTCGTTTGGAAGAGATTTTTGGCGAGATGGTCCTAAACTAAAAGCTTGGCGCTTGCCTGGAATGCAGGGTTTGTGTGTAAAAAAAAAAAAAAAAAGGAAAAAAAAAAGGCTTGAGGCTGATTGATCTTTTAACATTTCAAGCAGGCAGGTGATAGGGCAACCACAACGTGCTCAGGAGAGATAAAAGTTGCACTTAAAGCGATGCAAACCCAGGATCTTTACATTTTCTCCCATATTTTGCTCATAATTCAGATGCAATTAATTCTAAATTAATTTCTTTAAAAAAACTGTAAACTTTTTCTTTTAACACTGACTATAAACATTCTTCAATCTATGCGGAAACGTTGCAAACAACCTAAAGAAGTGCAGCCCATGCTTTAACATTTGCATACCGGGTGTTAAAATGTATTTAAGAGCTGCTGAAGCCAGTGCAACTGGTTTGTGGCGGTTTCTGTTTGGTTTCCACCTTCAGAGTTTATGTCAGGGTGACTTACATCACTTCCATACCTGCTCAGTATATTCAGACAGCAGCAGGAGTCAGCTCCTGTTCTGACGAGTGAGTGTATGAGCAGAAAAAAAACCATGATTTTGATTAGAAAACAGGTCATGTTAAAAAGTGTTGTCTTTTTATTCGTTTGGAAGTGACTCCTCTGTTGAATGGTGTGAAGGTTCCTCATGCTTCTTCTTCCTCTTCTTCTCCTGCTTCCAACCAGCCAGGCATTCCAGGCTTGTTTAAATAAGTCTTGCCTGCCTGGGCGCGGGTGGATTCCCCTCTGGCCCTTTGCCATTTGACCCCATGTGCATTCCGTATGTAAAGTGAGGAATTCCTCTGAAGTTCGGTTAATGGGGCTGAGGCTTTTTTTTTTTTTCATCTTCTGGACTCACCCGCTGGAAGGGAAAGCCAAGCTTGACGTAGCCTTAGCTGTGAGTTATGGATGAGGGAGGCTGCTGCTTGTTGGGGGTTAGAAATCAATGAATCCCAGCAAACAAAAAAAAAAAAAAGCCTCAGAGCTTCAGCTTCCAGCCGTCCTGCAGGAGAGGTGGATGTTGTGGAGAGGAAGCAGGTTTGACAACGTGGAGCTTGGTTCCTTATTTGGTTTGAAACTACTGCTGTAAAAACACACAATAAATCAAAAAAATGTGCAGAAAATTAAAAGTTTAATTGTTGCAATGTAACATATGAGCACATTTAATGAGCGAGTGTGAAAATAAAGGTTTTAAAGTCATTTACAGCAACATTTCGATTAAAACCTCTGCGGTTTAGT